TGTGGTGTGTGTGTGTGTGGTGTGTGTGTGGTGTGTGTGTGTGTGTGTGTGTGTGTGTGTGTGTGTGTGTGTGTGTGTGTGTGTGTGTGTGTGTGTGTGTGTGTGTGTGTGTGTGTGTGTGTGTGTGTGTGTGTGTGTGTGTGTGTGTGTGTGTGTGTGTGTGTGTGTGTGTGTGTGTGTGTGTGTGTTCTTGTTGGACTTGTTTTGGATGCTGATATGGGCTGACAAGACTCTGCACGCAACAACGCCTCAGGTGGCTCTTCGAATGTTGGGGCTACTGAGGACAGCAGCATATGTCGCAACTGCAGAAATCCAGTGTCTCAAAGTTGTTTCGAAGAGGACGGTGGCAGAGTTGGTTGAGTCCGAACCAGCTGCCTTCCAGGACGCGGAACTCTGTTCAACCCGAGGCCCTAAACAAAAAAAAGTGCCCAAACCCAGAAGCCATATCCCATGAGCCCTGAATCACTGAACCCCAAAACCATGCACTTATGTAAGCCCTTAGTCCGTAAACCCGCAAACCAACAACCCACAGAAGCCCTGAAACCCTCAACTGCAACCTCTCTTGAGGAGATCCAGAAGCTGGAAAAGGAGCTGGAACGGCCATGAGCTCAATCCGAGTTGCGAAGCATCCGGTCTTCGAAGATGGGGGTGTTTAGGGTTTAGGGTTTATGGCTACAGGCTGGGCTGCTGTTTTCAAGGGATCGCTTTGAAGAAGAGGGGCTTTTTCGTTGCTAAGGTTTGTGGGTTTGTAGAGCCCTTTTCAGCTCACAAGGGTGACGGATTAAGCGGTTTAGGCTTCCGATTGCGCCGTTTATAAGCGACATCTACCCCTAAGAAGCCCGATGAGGCTGCAGCTTCCCCCGAACCCGCTGGACGAGATCATGCGGAGGCTGGGGGGCCCTGCGAAGGCCCGGCTCTCCTGCAAGCAACTTCCCCCCCCCCCCCCCCCCCCCCCCTCCCGGTTTGGGCGGCCATGGGGGGGTTTACCTGGAACCCCCCTTAGTTGTAATTTCTTTTCGCTTTTGGGGGTGCCTAAGTTTTTTCTTGCGGCTTGTAGAATCTGATGAGTAAAGTTAGGCAGGCAAGAATCTACCTTCAAGGAGTACAGGAGGAGATGAAGAGGAGAGGGACTACGGCCTTGCCTCCCAGCCCCAGAGAGAGGGCGCGCTTCGGCGCGAGGGGTCTTCTAGGCCCCCCAAGCCCTGCAGAAGAAGAAGAAGAAGAAGAAGAAGAAGAATAAGAAGAAGAAGAAGAAGAAGAAGACTAAGAGAGAGAGAGTGTGTGTGCAGAAGAAGCAGAGAGAGAGAGAGAGAGAGAGAGGAGTGTGCGTGTGTGTATGCATGTGTAGCCGGGAAGGCAGCAGAGCAATTTCTCGGAGAACCGTCATGCTTTCAGCAGCAGCTTCCAAAGCAATTTCCCTCCCTGCGCGAGGTTGCCGAGCTGACGGGCAGATCACGGCGCCTGGTTTTCAACGAGCTCACGGGCGAGACGCGCTTCGAGGTCTCGTTTATCAAGCCCCAAACTTTTTTCGCCGGTCCCCTTGCTTACGCTCAGGAGCGAGGGGACGGTGCGAATCTGCAGGAGCCGCCGAAGTCTCTAGCAATATAGCAAATACATACAAGTCTCTCCTTAGAAGCATACACGTGTATGCAAACATGTGCTATATATCTATATCTATAATACGTCCTTACCTCTACAACACATATTTCCAGACGCAACACACACACACACAGAGACACATACACATACGAATATATCTGAGTACCTCATCATGATAACCCTGCTGTAAGACAGAGATGGTGTGTTTGTTGCAGGTATTCATTGTGCTGACTTGTTTACTTTGCATTCGTGTTTCAGAAACTACATATATACACATGTACATATATTCATATATATTCATATATACATGTATATATTTATACATATATATTACATATATGTATATGTATATATATATATATACATATATATATACATACATATGGCCTTGTGGGCTCCGCCGAAGGAGCTGCGATCCTTTCAGTCGGGCCGCAAGCAGGTCGCCATCGTCACCGAGGCTCGATCGCCAATACATTCCCCTCAATTTTCCCCCTTCGATGTATATATAGACACATATGCCTTCGATCCTGATATATATGTATATGTGTATGTGTATGTATATGTATATGTATATGTATGTGTATATGAGTGGTACTATAAACTGCCGAAGATGCACATTCTGACTCAACAGGTCCCTGCATTTGCTTAAGCTGCACGGAGGCCGCAAGTGCTGGCATCAGTCTGCACTGCGACAGGCAGGAGTCGCGAAGTGTTGTCCTGTGGTGGTCAGTGGTGCTTGCGATTTGCCGTTGGTTGATGTTGGCTTCTGGGGAGGCGATTACCTGAAGAGGCACAAAGGCGCCGGTTGGAACGACAGAAACCTGCCACGATGATGCTGGTCGAGTTGCCGATGAGGGGCCATGCGACCACGATTCGCCGTAGCAGGCCACGGTACATGATCTCGATTGAGATGCCCTGGGAGGCGAGAGTGTGCCTTGCCATGCCTTGAGCACGTCTGATCCATGATGCAGCAGACCAGTCTTCGGCTGAAATCTGGCTTTTTGAGTTGGGCTCAAGAACAGCTTCAAGGGTGGCACTCGTAGGTTTGTTGCAGAAAAGTCAAGGTTAAAGCACGTCTCAGTTGAAAAGAGTCAGGTGCCACGGCGTTTTCATCCAAGCTGCTCCAAAAGCCTTGCACAGCACCGCTTCCATGACAAGTGCCGGCGCAGCCGCATGGAAGCAACTACGGCAGCTAAGACACCGGGACCTTCTGCTGGGGACCTTGCTACGCGTCTTCGAGCGAGACCAGCTGGAGTCCCGAGTTCTGCAGTCGGAAGCCTTCCGACCTCACCTGACACGTTGGGCCGAGTTGCTGGTTGCCAAGGGCACATCTGGGGCGCAGGCCAATCCACACGAGGTTCCTACCGAAGTGCTGGAGAAGGCCAAGGAAAGTCCTGCAGAGGTGCGCTGGCTCCTCCGGCGCCTGTCCAGCGGAGAGAAGCAGCACCGGGGTCTGCCCCACTTTCCCTCCACGCTCCTGCAGCGGGGGCCCCAGTACCCCTTTCAGACCTTTGAGCTGACCTACCTCCGCTCCGTGGTGGGGTCGATCCGGGGCACGGAGCTGGTCCAGAAGCTGAAGCTCCCAGAGCCCACGGATGAGGCTAAGGCCCGGGCCGAAGAAGTCCACTACGGGGTTCCGGTTCGCGACCTTTGGGCGGAAGGCTGCTTGGACGACGACGACCACAAAGATCCCTCCAAGCCCCCACGATGAAACCCTAAACCCTAAAAGCCCTAAACCCTAAACCCTAGACCGGCGCTCAGGGGGGCGTTTCACCCCCGGAATGGATGTAGAAGAGCTGGGGCTTGTGGAGGAGAAAGAGGTCCCCAGCTTGCTGTGCTCGCGCCCTGCATGGCTGCTTGCCGCGGAAGGATAGAGATATAGAGTCAGTAGATAGATGCATGTACAAAGTTCCATTTACACATACATATGCATACATGTATATATATATATATATATATTGGCTATACTTACATATATTTATATATAGTACATACATATACATACATATATATATATATATGTATATTTGCACATATTTTTCTAACGTATGCACCAGCACTGCTATGAGATGTCAGGGCATCAACAATCGACGCAGCAGAATGCTCTCCATGCAGCACGCTAAACCCTAAACCCTATAATTTTCTTTTTGTCAAACTGCCAGAGGCCGACAAGGCCATCCAGCAGCTTGGGCGCGTCCACCGGAGCAACCAGCGGGCTGGGCGCCAAGCGCTCGATGACACGTAAGCTGGTGTGGCTTTGCAAGACTTGGTAGCCCAGTGGTACGATTATTATTCTTATTGTTATTATTCTTGCTATTATTGCTATTTTTGTTTTGGGTGTTCTCATTTTTTGGTTCAAGGTTCCCGTATGAAGTAACCAACCCCAAAAAGGGTGCCCTTATTGTAATATGGTTACTTGGCTACCAAGAAGAACATCAAGAATACTACGAAGATGAATCTGGAACAACATGATGAGGACCACGAAGACTTCCTATATTAATCATCACAAACATGAAGCCGTAACAAGAATCCTGAGAGCTATGAAGAGGTCCGCATGACCCAAACCCCGAAAACCCTAGACCCCCCTGTGGAGCCCAGGTCCCGCCCCGCTTTGCCTTCGTGGTCACGCAGTTGGGCGGGGAGGCCATGAAAGAAGTCGAAAATGAAGGTTTAGGGTTTAAGGTTTTAGGGGGTGTTTGAAAAAATAGGGATCCCCATAAAGGGGTTCCTACAATAAGGGGGGATATAAGCAATTCCTTTCGATTCGGAGTTTCCTTTTCAGAAAATTCGGGGTGGGGGGGGGGAGGGATCTAAGAATAAGGGAGATACCAGGGTCCCAGGGTGTTCCACAAACTAGGGGTCCCTTAGCCGAAACCGGTACCGTGTGAATGCGAGTCCACGCAAATCTCACACGTGCAAGAACCGAAGATCTAGTTCCACTCTTGAGAAGATCCCGTGGGCTTCGAAGAGGTTTCCCGGGTCTGTTGGGAGGATGCAGTGGTATCGGGATAAGTTCGGGTATTTCGGCTGCAATGAAGATTAATCATGAGAGCTCCAGTGGCTCAAGCCTCAGATCAGTGATGATCCGGGTGAGTATCTGTCCGCTGCCCACGCGTTCGTCTAGAAGTGGCATCATTAGCTCAGACTCACCTTCTTCAACTGTTTGCTTGCAGAAGGTCCAGTGGGCTCCAGGGTGTTGCTATGAGCTAAATCTTGCTCTGCCAAAGCGTTGAATACCAGTCAGTCTCATGGGCAAGTGTCCAACTGCCACTTCTGTATACCACGAGTGATCAACAGATAGTCTTAATTCTGTCTTACTCGTAGGGTTTCCTGCTCAGAAAGATGGCACGGAGAACGTGGGCGAGCGTTGTGTGCGTGCTCGCAGTCGTGCTTGCCATAGGCAAGCGGCACAGTCAGCTGTTCCTACGAGTGGTATCTGCGCCACCATCAACAGTAGCCCCGCTTTCACAGAGTGATTTAGCGCGTGGTGCCCAGTCTGAGTTTGTCGAGTCGCTGATCACCCGAAAGCGCCACAACCAGTTGACGTGGCTGCCGACTGACGCAGGTTTCATGAACAGCGAGTTCTCCTCCATACTAGTCCTTGGCGACTCGTACGGCGATGATGTAGACATGGGCTTCTATTGCTGGCCGTCACGCCTTGGAAAGAGACTGAGCTTGCCAGTCCTGAATGTGGCCCGGGGCGGCTCTGAATCGGCCCACGTCGCTGCGCAGCTCGAGCGTGCGCATGCCTGGCGGCACGAAGAGTTTGCACTCGATGCCCGTAGTCTGATGATCCTCCACACGGGTGGGAATGATGCCCTACACTCTTTGAGGGACCCTCGTATGCTGGGGCTTCTAGTCTCCGATCTGTACCGGCTCCGTTCCAGCCCGGAGCTTGAGCTCAGCATGCTCAGCTTTCCAAAGGAGCTCGGCAAGGTCATCACAAGACACCTGGACCAGTTCTTTGAAATGGCAGCCACGCACGGACACCGCAAGGTCCTCCTCAGCACTCTCCCGATCATGTCCTGCTTGCCGCTGGGTCGGATCCTGGTCCACACTCTGGTTCCCGGCGCCGGGGCCGGCTTCGTGAACCGCAGCTTGAGAGCCCTTGGGCGCTCCATCAATCGCTGCGTCTTTGAGGACATCTCAACGCTGACAGCCAAGCATGGAGTCCATGCACAGGTGTTTGATGAGGCCTCCCAACTGGAGCTGCTGGCAGAAGAAGCTGGGGCATCGCAGCTCAATCTTTGGGAGGGCTCCCGGCTGGTGTTGAGACAACTTCACCGGGTATTTCTCGGGCCGGTCTCTAGCAAGGACTTCTGGCATGATGGCCACCATCCTGCAGCACAGGCGCATGAAAGCCTGGCGAAGGAAGTTGAGCAGATCCTAGAGACCTTTTGAGAGCAACCGACATGTTGCAATCTCCTCCCTGACACATCGGTGACAAAAAAGCACTGAGCAACTCGCCCAGCAACTCGGAAAGGGAAAGGACTGCGCAAAAGCGACCCCGGCGCTTGTCCTGAGCCAATCGCCATCGGTGCGTGGTTGACTGTGAAGCCAGGTGCGCTTCGTGTCGACTGTCGCGCGACGTCTGCGGATTCTGGGAGCTGCGAACTCAGCTTCTCATGCCCATCCGGCCGGTTCAGTGTAGTCACTGTCAGCTACCGTCATTCCCGTTTCTCCAGCTCTATCTCACCCACAACCGTAGTCCGACCCTAAACCCTAAACCCTAAACCCTAAACCCTAAACCCTAAACCCTAAACCCTAAACCCTAAACCCTAAACCCTAAACCCTAAACCCTAAACCTGAAGCCCCGAAGCAAGGCCATGATGCGTGGCGATCGCAACTCCGCGCACGGCGCGGTCAAGAGCCTGGCCAGCTTCGACCTTCAAAACAGCCCCTAAGCCCTGAGCAAGGGGTTTAGGGTTTAGGGCTAGGGATGAATGAATGAATAAATAAATATAAATATACATAAATAAATAAATATAAATAAATAAATAAATATGTATATATAGATATTTGCATGGGGAAATATGGGTGACATGGGTAGCGGTTTGAACATTCCTGAGAACGTCGCTCGTCGCGCAAGGATATGGGCGCCAAGCCCTTGCACGCTTCTTCGAGCTGCTTCGAACTGGCCAGCAGCCAGAAGTGAGAGACCCAGTCGGGGCTCTGGTCCGTTGCCCTCTATCTTTCAGTCCTGTAGCCTTAATCCTTGAAGCCTCTACACTATAAACCCTGACAGGTATCCTTTTCCTTCTTGGCGTATCGTGGTGGACGGAGAAGGGGCGCGTGGCAAGGCTCGTAGCATGAAGCCTGGATTGCTCGCGGGATTGATGTTACGGAGCTTGAAACAACAGTAAGTTGCCATAACGAACTACTACGTATATATCGTACAAGCGACCAGAAAGAGCCCAGCGTCCGCTGACATCTTGAACGTCTTGAGGGCCTTGAGCTTCAAGACTGAACTGCAGATCGAGTGTCAGAAAACTCTTGAGAACCCCGTCTGTTTTGAGCGCCTTGAGCGTCTTGAGTTCAAGACGCGCAGCCAAAGGTTGAAGATGGATTTGAAGATGGAAGAGTCTAGGGCTGCATCTTCGATTTCCATTCTCAGTCTTGAAGCTCGAGATGCTCCAGACGCTCGAGATGGGAATTGGTGATTATGGCCTCAGAGTTTTCGGAGACTCGTCAACCTTCAATCTTCGACTCCCTGTTTTCATGCTGAAGACGTTCAAGACGGAAATCGGCGATGTCTCCCAAGACTTAACTGAGACTAGTCAATCTTCAATCTTCGGCTTGAAGCTCAAGACGCCAAGATGGACATTGAAGATGTCACCCGAAAGAGTGTTCCCAGCATCTTCAAGCTTCCCTTCATGTTCGGGGACCGTCAAGAGAATCGTCAACTTACCTCTTTACACCCGAAACTCACCCATAAACTCACCCAACGCTTCAAACCCAACGAGTTAAAGAACATTTTCTTTCGGGTCATGCCTCCAACTTTCGCACCTGCTGTAGTTCAGGATGGTCGTAGCTCCTTCGATCATAGGGTTGTTTCTGTAAGTAGTCACTAGCACTATAATGTGTTGACGGTTTTGTTCCAACATGTAACTAGCGTCTCCTTTCTCGATCATGTCCCTGCTCGCTTTAGGGATAGAATGCTTCTAGACATTCGTCACCTGTCATTCTTCCCAACATAGCTCCTCAAATCTCAATGAGGTGTAATATTGAGACTGCGTGCCACAAATATCACCTCCTTTGTGTTCTTAGAATGTTCATCCATTCGTTGTTCGTGTGTTGTTCAATCCTTCCACTCCATAACCATACTTCAGATAATTTCTCATACAACCTTTAGCAATTCTTCCTGCTCGATCATTGTCCTTATCTCTACTATGATCAGGTGTTTGTCTTAAGAGGTTATTGCTTACTAAACAACATAGTATGCTTATGCACTATAGAGCACTTCAGTATCACTTCTTCAATTCATGGGCATAGGTCTTGTCGCTCCCCCCCCCCTCGCCCGCGGTACTGTACGAAACGTTTCGGGTCTCCGTTCTTGAAAGATTTGGATATGCTCATGTGCATATACAGCTGGTCATTTTGCATGAAGATCCCTAGCTGGGCATTCTGCATGAAGGTTCCCTTACAAGTTCAAATAATAGTCCATCTCCGCCGATGCCTTTAAGATCCACTCAATATGGCCCAAAATGTATAAATATCTTCCAAGATAAGTGTGTAAAGCGACAGCTGTTTTACAAAGGCTTCTCTGCAAGAATGACTGTCACTGGGATGCCAGTTTTCCAGATGAAGCCCTTTTGCAAGCCTTGTGAATATTAGTCAAATGTAGCACATTCTTTTAGAGCGTATCTGTTTGGACACGTGTATGGAGACGCCCTTCCAAGTCTATTGTACGGATATGGGTATTTGCAGAGGAAATTGCAAATCCCGTCATGCACATAAAGGCATCTCTATACACGGCCTAGCTTTTCATACTGTACTTCTTTGTAGTGACGTTGCCGTTTGCCCTCGCCGGCCGCAAAATCACGTCACGAAGCTTCGAAACAACTCCGCCAGCCACGAACTCACGATTCTGCAGAGAAGCCGCGAGCTTCAGAGGTAAATGTTGCAAAGCCGCCAACAATCATGGATCCAAGGGCATCCAGGGGTCTAAGGGTCTTGGCCTATAGGGTCCTTAGCAGCAACCCACAGGCTTGCTCACGTCCTCGCACAAGTTTTCTCATCTGAGAACAGGCTGGCCGGAGTTCCGGAAGGCGGCGGAAGAGGCCCGAAGTCATTGCATTCTCGGTTTTTTTCTCCGAGCCTTGTGTCGGCAATTTACGAGTCGAACTGCAAACTGCCCGGTTCAAAGTTCTTCCCCCTAAGTCCAGGGCCCCTGTATTGCCAACCTTTGTCAGGCTCTCGACTTGATCGGTCTTCGGCCTGACACGGAAGACAAGTATGAGGCCCGGGCCTTCTTCAACTCCTTCTGGCATACTCTGACATAAGACCATCCGTCATCGTACATCATACAAATGAAGTCACATAAAAGATAATGCTTCTAAAACATTATGTTTGCCGCAGGAGTCCCTTACTGAGTCCAAGAACCTCAATGTCTTCCTGAACAGGCTCGACATTGCTTGATGAAGAGTACGATGAGGGTCCGAGAGTGTTCAACCCGAAACCCTCAGCCCTAAAACCCTACAACCCGTACAACCCTACAACCCTTAACCCTAAACCCTAAACCCTACAACCCTAAACCCTACAACCCCTACAACCCTAAACCCTAAGCCCTAAGCCCCTGACATGCTGGAGGTTGCTCATGCTCGAGCCCGTGATTCAAAATGCTCTCTTTGACGCGGTGGCGGAGCTGTATGCACATCTCGTCAGTCTGGCCCCGAGCTATGGAGCCTCAGTGACGGAGCGAAGCCTCAGAACCCAAAACCCCTAAACCCCCAAACCCCCAAACCCTGTAAGCCCAAAATCCTATAGCCTATACCCCTTAAACCCTAAACCCGCTAAGCCCCTTAAGAAGACCCCCCAAAAAACCCCCTACGAAGCCCCTTAGGCCTAAAAAACCCCTAAAGAAGCCCTTAAGAAGCCCCACAACAAACCCCTAAGAAGGCCCTAAACCCTAAACCCTAAAGAAGCCCCCAAAAGCCGCGTCAGGCCTGGACCGAGCTTCGGGCAGTTACGATGGGGGCCTGGAGCTCTTGGACCAGAAGCCGCTTGGATGCAGTCTTAGGGTTTGGGGTTTAGGGTTCAGGGTTTAGGGTTTAGGGTGAAGAGACCCGTTTGCGAAGCCCGTGCCTGCTATTTTGATACTATGTTTAGTTACGTCAAGGTTACGGTATATTGTGTGAAGCTCTATGAGATTGCATGATATTATCAAAGTTTCTTGTCTATATTCTTGAAAAATTGCCATGCAAGTTCAGGCGTGGCATCCAAGCAGAAGCCTGGCCCCTTCGGCAGTGCTCGTGCAGTGTGTTGTGGCACCATGTGGGCACAGCGTATCTCTTCTTTGTGAAGGTCCGGCTGGTGAAGCGCGAGGCAGGGTACAGTGAGATACGAGGGCAATGCTGCCAGAGTCTTCTGCTGAGGTGCTCTTCGAAGATCCCATTACCGGAGCGGAGACGGCCGGCTGCCTAGACATCTGAAGCCATGCGAAGCCAGTCTGCCTTCCGGTTCGCAAGTGGTTGGCCGTAAGCAGTGCAAAACCCAGCTTGGGTCTAAGCGGGCCAGACACCTAGATGGCACGGTTTTGTCAAATCTTGCCTGCTGGCCCTCAATGAAGTAGTCCCTGCTCGTAGTTACTGGTAGCATCTATGAAGCTGAAGGATGCAATCGTTGTTCCGCCTCGATGGCCAAGGCATACATTCGCCTGCACCTTGATCGTGGCATGGCATGGGATGCCGCAGAGGAGGTGAGACTCAGTTGACATTCGGATGCTGCTGCTTTCCAGACCTTTCCCGCACCTCTGTTGGCTCAAGGGAATCTGATTTGCGTGGCGCAGGTGCTTGATCGATGTGGAGGACGCGCAGAAGAAGTCGAGGGCTTCTACTGGTGCCTGAACTTGCCGAGAGCCAGCTCTCCACCTGTCGTGCTGGCAATTGCGCGCCCGCGGTTCCGCGGCGCGCGCTTGGGAGCCCTGGGACAGTCCGAGGACGAGGAGGAAGAAAGCGATGTTGAGCTTGAGCTACACTGGCCACAGGGTCCTCCTGCAGGCCACAGCTTGGACCAGCGAGTGTATTCATCCACCCTGCGCAAGGGTGAGCGCTTCCGCAAATCGAAAGCCTCGGATCTTCCACGTGTTCAGGCTGCTTGGCAGGCTGCACGCAGTGCTTCGTCTGAGCGCTGGCGTGAGGAGCATGTCCTGACCGGGTCCATTCTTAGCACTTGGGCTGTTCTTGGGACTGCCATCGGTGCCTCGCAAAGTTCGAAGGCACCTCGAAAGATACCACTGGTGAGGGCGAAGCTGAGCGACGGGGGCGCCATTGTGGGAGTTCGCGTGCAGCCTGAGCGTCTACAGGAAGTGAGATACGTCCTGTCGGCGCTCGGCGAGGAGCGCAGTAGGAAGCTTGACAAGGAGGGCTCGGAGGAGCCGGCGCAGGCGGAGCACGATATTACGAGGCTGTCGGCGCAGCTGGAGGCTTTCCTGCGAACGCAACCAGATCAGCAAGCAGTCTGGTTCGGCTTTGCAGGTGCTCACAAAGTCCTTGCTGCAGATGGCCTGGTCAGTCAGGGGGCACCAGGCATGCTGTTGGCCCAAGAGGCCATGGAGGATCTAGAGCGAAACGGCAAGGTCGATATCGACACTGAGACTGGTCTGGTGCGCCTGCGTGAGAAGCCCAAGGGCTGCGGATGGTACATTCCACCTCCCAAAAAGCCCAAAGTGGGCAGAGGCCGAGGCCGAGGCCGAGGACGTCGAGGGACCTGAACCTCTTACAACCCCCTTGATAGCCTCCTTGAGCCTCTTACATGCCGAGCCGCAGCGCCACAGATCTTCTGCGCAAGTTGGGAGAACGCCCAGGGCCATCCTGATCCCAGCCGAAGCTTCGCAGCCGCTCGTAGCCATCGTTTTCAGAATCGTCGATTTGGTGAGCATGGCCCGACCTGGCCAGGCCGCAACGTGGGGAGGACAGATGCGAGGGAGAGCATGTGTCCAAAAATCTCATCGTCCCATGACAAGTGACTACAGGGAATGATGGTCGGCTTGCGACATGCCTGCAGACTTCCTGACCGTGCCCTGGGAAGCTTAAGCTCAAGTCTAGCTAGAAGCAACAAACCATATCTGAGAGAGTTTAACACAAGTTCCTGACTGAGTCCAGTTCTTTGCATAATCTCGTGAGCACATAGTGAGATACAGGATTTAGCCATGAAACTATGCTGCGTACCCAGACTCCAAAACAGGTGACCATACAACCGTTTCGTAGTGGTGCAGCATGGCGCTTGCTTTGCCAGCGCCATGGCACCGACTTGGGCACATGACTGGGCGGAATTACCAGAACCACCACGTATCCTGCCGATGCACCAAGCAGAGTTGGAGGGTACAAGCGGCCACCTTGGGTGGAACCCTGGTTTCGCTGCTCAAAGCTCTGCGCCAGGCAGGCGTGGCCGAGCGGAGGAGTAGACTCAGAGAAGCCACGACAGCCCAGCTTAGAATCATCAGCGCCGGGCTTCGGCTGCGGGTGGTCGAAGGCTCTCGCGCAGCCCTTATGGACAGGATAGAGGGAGCTTTAGCTCAAGATGCCGAACTCGCTGCTCCCGACCAGCCTATTGGCCGCATCCTCCGCAACTTCCCCACGAACAAGACGGATCAGTTCGAGCAGCTGATGATCGAAAGGCTGAGCTGCGCAAAGCTGAAGGGCGGCCTGCCTTGCTTGAACTCACCTTCTCTATAGGGAGGGGGGGGGGGTGGAGGGGGAAAGTCCGATCCCTGCAATTTGTGTAGCTAACATGACCTATTCTACATAGCCGTTCCTTTTGGGCTTTCGGGTGTGATACGGAGCTATGTTTTAGCACAACCCCTCCCCCCCCCCCACACAAAAAAAAAGTAGTTTTACAGACTGCTGGTCTAAGGAAATTTCCAACAGCTAGCGGACCCCTTGATATGCCCAAACAAAGAACCTTTGGGTTTAAGGTTTATGGGTTTTAAAGGGGTGTAAAGAAGGCTTGAGGACATATGCAAACAGTGGACCCCTAGTTTTAGAAACCCGTCCCAGTCTTAGAAACCCGTAACTAAACCCCAAACCCTCATGCTTTTCGGAACCTCTAAGCCAGGCCTGTGCCGCCCCTTGCGATTGAGCACCGCTGGCAAGAAGGCCTGGCTCTTGCGCTTCGATGCGCGCGTCGGGTCCAGCCGAAGGCTGCAAAGCTCGTTAGAAGAGGCAGAGGAAGAGGAAGCCAGTAAGAGGAAGAGTAAGCCTAAGGGGAGTAGGAGTCAGCGTATAGGAAGAGCAAGAGAAAGAGTGAGAGAGCTTAACCAACAGAGTAAGATTAAGAGTCAACGCACAATTAGAACACATATCGTCATAGTAGTAAGAGAACACGTAGCAATGCCAATCGCACAAAAAGAGGGTAGCAGCCCCGCAAGCAAGGGATGGGAGCGGAGCATTCGGGTTCGTGAGGTCACAGGAGGGAGGGAAGCCGTTTGCTTACAGTTGTAAGGAAACTCTTGAATGCAATGCACCGCGCGTGAGAAGAGAGACTCTTGCACTGCAAAAGAACTGCCTTGGAATGTGCAATTTCTGTTTCGGATTTTCAGCCGCTGGATGTCTTTACCTTCAAAAGGTTTTTCTAATACTACGCCATGTGGAATGACATCGTATTTCTCAGCGGTCTTCAGCACGCGAGCTCTTTTCAGGTTCGGAATGACATCCAAACCTGCATGCTGGCAAACGCAGTGGGAACCTCGACAAGGACTAGGGCTTTCTCAAAGATAGGCAAAAACCATACTGCCAAAAGCATCAGAAGCAGTAAACGAAACAAATTGGGTTTCGCCCCACAAAACTCCATGAAAGCAGCTGCGCGACGGCGAAGGAAGGGACCCGCCCGTAATGTCCCTAAACCCTAAACCCTAAACCCTAAACCCTAAACCCTAAACCCTAAACCCTAAACCCTAAACCCTAAACCCTAAACCCTAAACCCTAAACCCTAAACCCTAAGCCCTAACGGAGGCAGAGCTCGCGAACCAGATCATCGGGGAGCTGATGGAGCGGCACCCTCCAGGCTTGTGGTGTCAGGGCTTGCCGGGGCTATATTAATATAAAGTATTTTTAATGTTGTGTATATAAAAACCCAAGAGGACATTTAAGATGTTAATTTTATTAAGGTTCTAAGGGGAGTATAGGCAGTATGGGTTAGAAGACTTGTTAACAGGGTTTGAGGATGGTGGATGGGCTTGTAGTTGGGGCTCAAAAGGGCTTGCGGATGATTGCGGGGATCATGTATTGTTCGCTGTTCATTATTTCAGCAGGGCTTCTACAGATTGGCGGGGCAAAAAGAGTGCTGTAGATTGACAGGGTTGAAAGGGCCTTGCATTGAACTGCAGGCTTCCAAGAACCGGAAGTGGTGAGCATCCCGGCAAGCGTGTCCCGGGCGCCGCGTGCAGCACCTCACGCGAGCGAGCCGAACGTGCTCGAGCCACCTCTTGGGCACAATCCGCCGCGTCCAAGTCAAGGATGTCGGAGAGTTCAGATGTCTTCATGTAAGCCCTTCTAGCCCTGGTTGCTGCAGGAAGTCTCGAGGCAGATTGCTCCCAGCCCGAGGAGGCAGAGAGCGACATGACATGGTAAAGAGCCCACATGGCTTGCAGTTTCCCGAATGTTTATAGAATCCTGAGGATGTCGAAGCTGACGTGCTGATACCCACTGCAGCTGCCTTGGAGCAACTCTGGCGCCCATATCTTCTGTCCAAAGATTGTCCGGATATTCAGGTTCTTGTGAGCGACGAGGAGAGAAGGGAATGCCAACAAGCAGAGCGACGACAGCGAAGGAGGCCGGAAGGTCATCAGACCTTGTTGCTTTGCTTGTACACCTTCTCGTGCGACAGGAGCCGCTTCGCTGAAATCCTGGCCGAGGACTCCTGATTGCCATCTTTCAGCTGCCTTCGAACGAATGCGACTCGTGGTCCACACCTGCGACTCGTGGTCCACTCATCCTGGAAGCCTGGAAGTACAAGAGAAGTTTAAGTAGACACAGAACTATGTAAGTAGTCAAAGCCAGGAGCTGTCGAGCGTCCTGCATCCGCAGCATGGCGCGACTTGCTGAGACGACAACCTCTGACCGCTCTGAGGGTCTCTTCGGTTCACGTTTCCTGCATGGACGGCCGTTCTGGGTGCCAGGATGTCTGGGTCCAACAGCCCAATCGAGCCCCGTGACTATGTGCAAGAAGACAGACTCTTCACCGCGCGCTACTTGCACCCCTAAACCCTAAACCCTAAACCCTGAACCCTAAACCCTGCATCGTCCCATCAGTCCATGTTCCCAGTGGACCCAGAGGCCCCAGACGCCCAAATTATGTTAGCGACCGCAGCGCTTCGTGGAAGATCTTGCAGTAGTGACCTTGGGGTTTAGGGTTTCAGGCATGTTCAGGGGTGCCTGGTCTGTGTCTAAACCCTAAACTCCCTGTTGCATGAGTAGACAAGGAGCCACGAGCCTGCCGGTCATCTGTTTCACCCGGCTCTGTGCTGAGCAATCGAGTCCACCCAAATTGAAAAGTTTACCAGCTTGGCGTTGACAGCCCAGGTTTATGGCAAGGGGGGAAGGGGTGGGGGATGGGGGGCCGGGACACCGGGGCACTGCTGCGCAGTCCAGTCTTTTGATGGCCCAAGAGCTCATACATTGTCAAGCCTGTTGCGACAGGCACAGGTCACATCCTATGATCCAATACAGCTTCAGCCCCTGACTGGTGTTGCTTGAACTGCCCTTCGACGTAGCCATGGCCATGGCCGGCCAGGCCACCGCCCCAAGTAGGTCTGTTGCTCGCATGCCTTCAGCTGCCTGCCATTGCCTGTCACTCAGCCCACAGGGGAGGGCTGGCATGCCCGGGAGCGGATTTGGATCTACTGGCTCCACATCTGCCACATCTTCCATCAAGTACTCCTCTCAGCACGCAAGGACGAGAAAATACATGAAAGAGTTGGAAAAACCCTCAAGGAAGCCAAAGCCTCTAAAACCCTTTTCCCAGGCGAATTCACCGTGAGCTCAAGGAGATCAGCGAATCTCCATCGCGGCACTGGACTGGAACGTGGTCGTGCGGTCCAGGGCACGAATCTACGGTCTCGTTGGGATTTGTGTGTGTGTGTGTGTGTGTGTGTGTTTGTTTTTGTAAGTTCCAAGGGAACATTTGCACATGTGCTGGGTATTAGGGTTGTGCAGGGAGTATGGGCAGTGCTGTCGCCACCATAGCAGCTGCGGCACCACGCGCAGGATCGCTGGGCCGGCGAAGGATGATCTGTTCGAGTGGCTGGCTGCTTTCCCAGTGAGTGCCGTGCAGTCGCAGAATGAAGTAGCCCCAGGCCCTACACCAAAACCCGAAACCCTAAACCCTAAGAACCCTAAACTCAGATGCTGGAGGGCTGTTGATCTGAGCCCAGTTTGCTGTTCGCGGACCCCCATCGACCGACTTCGAAGGAGGCGGCAGCCCTTCCCAATAGGAGTTTTTGTTCGCTTTAAGTCTTAAGGTCCGAAGTTTAAAGGCTTTTGAAGTGGACAGGCATCTACACCGGCAAGATTGTCTTGCCAGCCTGGTCCTTAGTGACTTAGTGTGCTCTTGCCCAAGGAGCCCTTGACCTGGCTGTCTTGGGGATGCCAACAAGGTGAACTACCCTCTCGCACCTCCATCAATCACGATGCTGACGCCAAGTGGCCGATGGGAGGCAGGGTACAACACTGGTTTATGCAATTTGTCGGCGCGCTCCCAGTGCATTTCGATGCC